TATTTTACGCCAGACTTGGTCGAATGTCTACGGTCACTCCGTCACTCGTTTGATGGTGAAAGTAGCCATGTGCATAAAACAATTGGAAGAAAGTGGTTTCTGCTTGCAGGTAAATATTTTAGCTGAAAGAAATGTAGGGCGCAAGAAACTACGTACGGCGGCAATATTTCATACCGCGCGTCACATATTTCTTGCACTTTCTCCCAATTTCTTGCACCTTGCATTTCTCCCGTTTCTTGCTTTGCAGTGCGAGAAATGTAGCAAACCCGCAAGAAACGAAGCACCGCGTTACACCAGATTTTTTCGAAACGACGATTCGCCCACGGTGTGACGAAGTTGTGTCTCGTCTGGATTTTGAGGATCCTTCATTTCCCCGATAGCTGGCTCAGGTTACAAGCTCGCAGTGATCGACATACGACCGTCATTTGCGACTAGATCGTTTATCTAGTAGTGAGTTCCAACCACGTCATGCCATCACATGACTCACGACGTATGTACTTAAGGTATCATAACCAAGGAGAAAGTAGCACGTGAAATCTTAGAAAAAGTGGCTTCTCAGAAACGAATTCCACGTGACAAATTGAATTGAACTCTATTCTTTTTAAAATGCATTATTTTTTCCACTTTCTCCTCCATAATGCATGAATCCCCACCCTTTTGAAATCTCCGGAATTGAGACGACGGCAGATGCAGCAGTGGGTGAAAATGTCTGTCATCATCATACCCAAGCTTTTTGTTATGTGTGTGTATGTGCATGGGAGAAATTCCAACGGACTGATGTGATGTCTGGCTGCCTGACATGGATTGCTTCTGCTCGCCTACGTTTTATACAACTTTATGCGATTTATTTCAAAATCTCTCCACTTTCAAAGTGACGAGAAGTGAGTTAAGTGTGCGTTATATTGTATTATTTGGAGTATGGGGTGAGCTACTTTGTGGGATCGTTTTGTCTGTCCGGCTGTCTTAGCAAGATATACATTTGTAGCACGCTATATTTAATGGCGGATTTAGACATGAATTTTCTAATTTTATGACATCCGTCGAGTTAAAAAATGGGGTCATTGAGGTCACGGTGAAGGCCTAAGATTGTGACCGTTTTGTCTGTCCGTCTTAGCAAGACGTGTTTTTCGATATTCAAATGCGGTTATGGACGTAGTATTTTTAAGTTTATGATGTCGATTAGATTAATAATGGGGTCACTGAGGTCACGGTCAAAATGACCTTTGCGTTTGTAAGGTCAAACGTCAAATTGGAGCTTAATTTTCATGTTTGATATCATTTTAAAAGTAATTTCAAGCTACTTTTTTTATGTTCGTTTATACCGGTTTATTTCTGAGTAGCCTCGTAGAATGTATGCACGTAAGTCAGGAAGAGAGCGAGCGAGCGACGGAGTGAAAGTGAAGCTTGGTGGATGAATTGTGCTCTTATTACGTGTCCTCGCTGCTTTCACTGGGAAAGAAATTATGCTCAGGAGATGGATGATGACTTCGTGATGATGATGACGATGACGGCTCGGCCAGAAAGTGAGGGCTATACGTACATTGTTGGGCATGCATTTTATGGACTTGACATAACAAAGGGAGGGATGAGATGGCTGAGGTGATTTTTTTCTGAGAGGACGACATATGCATCAAGCAATTTAGTGTGTGTAACATGCCACTTTTTTTATGATTTATGTATGTAGGTCGTAGTTTTTGATGAGATAGAATAGATGTACGTGTATCTAGTGCTGTGATGATTTGGTCGATACGGTGAAAGTGGTTTAGGTAGATAATTAAGCACATTTTTAGCCTTAGGGAGGTAGCAAAGTTAGTGAAAGGTGAAAGTGTAACTTGCGAAATATTTAGAATTTAATATTGTACTCCGTTTACGGTTGCGAATTATTTTGCATAAGAAAATGTACAACTTTTATTAATGCCAATTTTGTCAATTTTGCCAATTTGCCAAGAGAAACTTGGTGAAAGTAAGGGTCGTTATTTTAATGGATTTTAAAGTAGACTTTCATCCAGTTAATTCCGGTTATTTAGTTGCGTAATTTTAATAAATAAGTACCTGAATCATGCAGGAAATGGCGCAGTTTGTAATCAGAAGAGTATAAATTACCGCATTTTATAACAATCATTCGCACATTAAAGGGTTCCTTTGTCAAGTTTTGGATAAGTAAGAACTTTTCCAATTTTGTGTAGCTGACTTTTCATCCACTACTGATTTACTATTAAATAGTAATTTTATGTTTGAAGATTGCCTTGTGAAATTTCTTTGTGGAGGTGAACACTGTAAATAATTTTGAAGAGAGTTGTACATATCATCGTTATCGTCACCACAACCACCACTACCTTCGGCTCGGAAATATTACTTAAAGGAGTAAAATAAAGATGAGAAAAAGTACTTTACCTAACAAATTACAGGACTCGTTCCAAAAAGTTTATCATCAAAAAGCTGAGAATATGTAGATGTCAATCGAATTTTTTAGGAACTGACACCTTACTAAAATTTGAGTGCAAAATATTTGCATGATTTTGTACATTCTAGAATAAAATTGATCATAGAATTTGTAAGCATTGTACCACACTTGGTTAACCTAAATTTGGCTTACGGCAAGAGAATGTTTGTTGAATCTCAAATTATTGTTTAATCTTGTGTAAATTTATTTAGAGTCAAGGAATTTATGAAAGTTTGAAATTCGCTTTTCTCAAATTAGTGATAGTGATATTTAGTTAGAGTTGCATGTTAAGCGACGAAATCCAGTCTCATTAAGGTGCTGAAGGCTTATCAATCTCGCCATAAATATCGTCGTCCCATGCGAAACGTGAATTTAGCATGTTTCATTTTGCATGAATTTTTCATGAATCATATTTTTAGCACATTTTTCTACAAGTACAGTATTTTTTGCAGAAATCGTTTGACTCATGGGTACGATCCCTAGTAAAAAATTATACCCATCAAAAACAGAAAATACATAAACGTCCCGTTTTGTATTTCCAACTGACCGGAGAAAGCTGTTCTAATTAGGTTACAACGAGGATGTCCTTAAAAGAGGGAATTTATCTTGACGATGTTCCAACTTTCTCCGGGCACAATTTATTCAAAAGGAGAGGACAGGACACCAAAAGAGAAAGTGCTCATCCAATAGGAATAACTGCACCTCATGGGTCAGCACGTCTCCAAAAAGGAAGAAAGAGAGAGAGAGAAAGCGGAAGTCTGTATAAGTTCCCACTTGGCAAAATTAAAATTAATTTCCAACCTGCAACTTCCTTATCAGAGTGAAAGCATCTTGATTATTTTTGTGTGTAGGTAGCCTGCCAAGTTATCACGTCTTTTTGCTGAGTGAGATATCATAATATCGTGATAACGTCAGAAAATTGGAGTAGCAGAAGGTTCAAATGGTATCTTTTACTTATTAAAGAATACATGTTTTGTATGAATTTCTTCACTTTCACTCACATTTTTGAAGCGATAAAAGCGTTTATTTCCAAGTATTTTAGACTAGAATTGAACTTATCGTCGTGTCCGGAATATTTATGGCATGGTTTATTTGCCATATTTGTCCAAAATTTAAATTTATGCCCGCGTAAAGCTATTTTTTATTTATTAAAAGACCCAGTATTTGGTATTAACTTGTTAACTTTCACTCTGATTTTTGACACGATAAAAACGTTTAGTTCTGAAAGATGAGAATGGTAAATACTTATCGTTCGATATTTTTGGCATGCCATATTTGCCATATTTTTCCTGCATTTAAATTCATGCCGGCATAAGACAAATGTTTTAAAATACCCTCAGAAAATTTATGCCAAAAATGGCTAAAATCCAGGAATTTTCATACTCCTAACGAGCATAAAGGGAGGGAGGGACCACTGGCTCTTCTTCTATGAAAAGTCAGCTATTTTACACCTGCAAACTAAGCGATCCAACTACGCGAGTTGACTTGGGTCCAACGATAAGTGAGGTACGTAAAGAGTCCCTGAAGTATTGATTTTTGCATTTCTTCGTCCATTTCCTCCTCCTTTCTTCTCAAGAAAACCTTCCATTTCTCTCAACTAAATAAAGTAAACCGAGTTGGAGAAAAGTAAAACTTTTTTCAGCTCCAGTTTTCTTCAAGAAGCAGCTTTCTCTCGAGTGTGTGTGTGTGTGCGTGAAGGAAGTTTTATTAAGCAGTATTGCATATTTCCCATTGAGGATTTTCCATTACATTTCAACTTCTTTGAATTGAAGGGTAGGAAATGAATCTATTAGGATATTTTCCTCCTTTTACGAAAAAGTAGAGTTGTACTTGTACACTCAAAATAAGGTAGTAATGAATTATTAACATGCGAAATCACTATGTGTCTCTACCACGTCGGTTACGATTTGTCCTAGAAATGGTAATAATAAGTTCAGGGAAATTAAAATTTAATACATAATGGTATTCACTTCCTTAATATTTGGTAATGAATTTGAATTTCCCTGAACTTATTATTACCATTTCTACGACACATCGTAACCGACGTGGTAGAGACACATAGTGATTCCGCATGGTAATGATTCATTACTACCTTATTTTGAGTGTACGTAAAAATGAAGACGGAATTTAGGCGGCATTTATGCAATAACACACAAAATATCGGTGTCTCGTATTTAAACTTGGGACGATTATAATTAGCCCAAAGTTATAATAAATTCCTTGGGCTTTAGTTTCCACGCCCAAATTGCCATGAATTTATTTTAATACCCAAACACAGGATGGATTTGTGTCCAAAATTCGGTACATATTTCCAGAAAAGACCACGTGTTTACTTTTATTCCCAAAATGCCATGTAGTCATGTACATGTATATAATTCCGTAAATATTTACATGCCAAAAATGCCTCAAAATTATTTTTATATTTAAAACACTATGTATTTATTTTCATATTTTCATGCCCTGGACATTGTACAAGTTTATTTACGAGTGAATCCCGCCGGTTCAGCTATCTTTAAATGCATACAAGAAATATTTTGTGAATGTTGGTATTGCTTACCTTACGCTAATCTTGCGGTTTCTCTCCTTTCTGTTAAAAAAGAAAGAGAATTATTAAAAATTGGCACATTTTTTAAAGCGATCTGTATTAATTTATGCATTAAAATTGCATATTTGTAGCTATTTAATGCACACCTGTGAGAGAAAGTAATACTATTTTAGCATGATTCTAAAATCCGCGTGGATTTGTAGCTATTTAACGACACAAAAAAAATTATTAAAATTTTACACAGTTTTTACACTATTTAGGTCAATTTATGCCCTACATTTGCACATTTGAATTTAGCAATTTAAAATTTATACGTCCAATAAAGTTAATTCTATTTTAACGCTAATTATTAAAAATCACATTAAATAGTATTTAACGTGATTTTAAAATCCGCGCGATTTGTATTTAATGCACACACCTGACCTGAATTAAATAATTAAATATGGTAACAAAAGGGTCACGTGTGTGCATACAAATCGATTTGTATCACGTCACCACGATTAAAATTGCACATATAATGCACACACATGAGAGAAAGTAATACTATTTTAGTGTGATTTTAAAATCCCTGTGTATCTTGTGGATATTTAATACCACATTTTTATACCATTTGTATCATCACTTCATTTACGCATTTACAATTGCGCATTTAATGCCCACACGTGAAACACATTAAGAAAGAAAGCTTAACCCTATTTTAGTGCGAGCCAAAACTACGTATGAAAGAATAACGCAATGTTTTTTTTCTTTTCTGGAAAAAAGTGTACAAGATAAGCCCAAATATCGTAGGAATCATCAAATGGATCTCGCAAATGCCCAAGAGGATCAGAATCAGACAATGCACAAGACGGGATGATGGGTGATTGTATTAAAGATGACAAAGAGAAAGCAGGGAGAAAAGTTGGAAAAATCACCATCGCCAAACAGCCAACTTTCTACGTTGATACGAATTGATCTCTGACATTTGACATTTGCCAGGCCAGATAGATATTACGGTTTCGAGAGAATTTTCTACTTTACGCCAACGCCAAGTTCATGGCATGGAATGTTTGATCTGGACGATGAGAGGGTCCGGTAATGGAAATAAATTCGTGAAAATGGTATTTTTGTCGAGTCATTTATGTCCTATTTTTAGTAGAATTTTAATTAAATTAGTAAAAACAAGTGGTATTTTTGCCAACTCGTTTGTTTATTATTTTTCGTTTCGGGGTCAAATTATTTTAAGATATTGTGCAGATGCGTATTTATGACGTATTTATGGGCAGAATTTTTGACTAAATTTGCAGCCAATATGGAGATTTTTTTAAAATGTTGCACGTTTTCGAATTTTAACACAACTTCAAAAATTGAAAAACTTGAAACTTAAAATTGAATACTTAATTTGATCCTATTGAAATGTATATATTTTAATTTAAAAAATAGACAAGCTGGGTGCAGAATTTTTTTTACTAAATTTCCAGCCAATACCGGGATTTTTCAAAATGCTGTAAGTTTTCGAATTTTAACTAAACTTAAAAAATTGAAAACTTAAAATAACACTTAATTTCATCCTGTCCAAAAATCTACACATGATTTTTAATCTTAAAAATAAACCACAGTTACACACTTTCTCCTTAAACAAGTCGTGTAAAATTGAAAAAAATACTAAACAAAACCTTGAAACTTCTTATCAGATGAATTTCACTTATGAATCTTGCGCCAAGAAAGTTTTCCGCTGCCATAAAAATGTCTGACAATGGTGTAAAATTAAGCGTGCCTCCCCCGAGAATGTAGGTAATGGTGTAGCTATAATGTAAGTAAGTGAAAGTGGCTTGACTACAGTATTGTCACTTTTTGACTCTGACTGTCACGAAAGTTTAGTGGCGGCATTATCCTCCAAGAAAGAGAGGAAGATGGCTTTGGCACGGCACGAAAACTTTGTTCGGTGAAAGTACAAAGTATGTATTTACGAGAAAAGAGGGAAGAAAAGTGTATCGGAGAAAGTCAGGTAGTAATTTCAAGAAGGCAGTGTTTCCGGTGGAAGTAACGACTTGCAAAAAATAATGGGGAGAAAATGGTTGATTTGAAGGTGAATATTTAAACCTGGGAGAAATGCAAGGCGCAAGAAACTACAATCCGTCGCTATAAATAGTTCATACGGCGCGTGGCTAGATGGCGCATATTTCTTCCACATTGTTGTAGTTTCTTGCACCTAGTATTTTTTGGGTTTCTTGATTTGAAGTGCAAGAAATATAGCAAAACTGCAAGAAACTACTGGTGGAAAATGGTTTTTTGCAGCTATATTCTTAGACCTGCAAGAAATACAATAGGACCTATGTCCCGCCGTTATGAAGCGCGCGGCTAGATGGCGCGTATTTCTTGCACCTCACATTTCTTGCCTTTCTTGCTTTGCATTGCAAGAAATGTGGTAAACCGTAAGAAATTAAAAACAAGCCCCCTCTTGCAAGAAATAGGTGGGAAGAAAGTGATTTCTTGCTGGTAAATATTTTGCCCTGGAAGAAATGCAAGGCACAAGAAACTACTTCCCGCCCATTTAAATACTTCATGCGTGGCTAGATGGAGCATATTTCTAGCACATTCTCCCAGTTTCTTGCACCTCGCATTTCTTGCATTTCTTTGTTTTCCAGTGCAAGAAATGTGGCAAACCCGCGAGAACCGGAACCCTGTCCGCTGGGAGTACGAATGCAGTCATATATTTTTATGTCGAATCGGAAGCTATGTTCTACCACAGTTGGGAAAAGCTTAGTAATAAATTTAGACATCTTCACATTTGGAAAAGTTTTTTCTTCACTCCTTTGCTTTTTTACAGCTGACAAATCTCACGTGTGAAACTTTGGTATATATTTGGTTATAGGTTCAGACAGCGTCGTTTTGTTTTGAATAATCAAAACTGGGTGTTAAAGGATGGATGAATTTTGATTTTAGAAGATTTTACGTAGAGTTGTAAAATAGGAGGGGGGATTTCAAAAGATGAAAATTTGTTAAAAAAATTGTAATAAAAATTCTGGAATTTTTTAAAATGAAAATGAATAATTGTGTTTAAACGTTGATTGATTTTGGACGATCTTAGGAAGAGTTGTAAAATAAAGAAAGTTGAAATAGTTTCGAAATTTGAAAATTTCTTGATAAAAGTCATAGAATTTTGGAAATTAAAGTAAATTCATGGAATTTTTGTGTGTGAATTTCTAATAAATTTATGGTTTTATTGTAACATTGGACTTATGTGTGTATATTAATTTAAAAGGCGGACTTGCCATTAATGCAGCATTAATGGCATTTATGTATTGATAATGCTAAATCTGGGCATAATCACAGCTTTAATGCTAGAAATTGTAACAAAATCGACCCGATAGAGTATTATTTAGCCCCCATTTTAGATTTTGCCCTTGTTGAAATGATAACGGTTGTTATTGCTGCGATATTATTTACCCAGCGAAAGCGAACAAATGAATCTCTCGAACAAATATTAAATCGGGACTCTGAAATGAAATGAAGAAGCCAGCAAAAGGTTTCGAGTTAACTTTCACCGACCGACTTTACACTTTTCCCCTCATCTCTCTGCCTCGCTCGCTGATTGTTCTCTCACGAGAGAATGCCCCCATTTCCTCCTCCTACGCCTCATGGATGAGAAATGGGACAACTTCCTGTTTGCGTTTCGTCCTCCTCCTCCTCGAAATGAAATTATTATTACGGAATCATCCATCGGTCTTGGAAATGATGATGAAATGGGGGAAATCGTGCCAAAATCGAGATGTATAGAAAATTAGGGGAGTATCTACGTCATCGCGGGGAGCACATGGATTTCTAAAAATTAGAGGTTTGGGATTTTTTAGAGGAGGATGAGTGAAGAGAAAGTAGAGAAAGTCGGTGATTAGGTATTGATAAGGGTGGATTGTTGCAAATGGGGCGAAGGGATATGGTTGAAAGATAGTTTTTCACGTTTTTCACACGTGGTTTTGGTGTAAAATGCACGTTTTCCTATTTTACATTTATTTTAAATCGGGAAATTGGGAAACGTAGATTTTCGCGTTCCCATCTATTTTTGCGGGCTGGAGAAAGTTGTAAAATAAAAGTTGTCTTTTTTCTCACCTATTTTAATTTTAATAGTGGGAAAAAATGCACTTTTCACCATTTTCCCGGCTATATTGGGCCGAAAAATATACTTTTTCTGATTTATCATAAAGTTCGAATGTAATTTCGGTTGTAAAAATTGGGAAATGTAAGTTTCCCATTCCATTTTCAAAATGAAATAATCTGGTGACACGGAGAAAAAATTAAATTTTTCTCATTTTTCCCACTCATTTTCATTTAACCAATGGGAGAAAGTGGTAAAAACGAATTTCTCTCTGGGTAAATTAACATAGTTTTTACCACTCGCAACCTTATCTCCTCAATGAAAGCTTAATGTTACGGAATCTTACATACGTAACTAAATATTAGTACGAAGGTAGCGTAGATAAGGTTGACGAGCCCACGTCTCTCGTCTTTTTTGTCCACGCGGTGCACTAAAGTTGATAAAATTCTGCTCAAAAACGCATTAGTGCCATAAACCGAACTAGTAACCAGAGTAGTAGCAATGGGTTAAAGGAGTGCAATGGGGAGAAAGCAGGGCGTACTTTTTCGCTCGCAGGGGCATTATCCATCATAAATAGAGCCATAAGTCATCCACAACAAAATCTCGGAATCTCTCATCTCTGGAGCAAATGGGCCTCATAAAACTACTCGTCGGCGTCCCATTTACTCTGATTTTGGGGCTTCTTCCAGAGAGACTTGATCAACGGCGATAAGGCTGGAAGTTGTGGAGGGATTGGTAACCCTTTCATGGTGGGAGAGAAACGTGGGAAGGGAAGACTTGATCTGGCCCGAGTCGGTGTTTTCATAATTTTGAAAAGAAGTGTGGATGGTTGACACTTGCGACATTGGATGGTTGACACTTGCGACATTGGATGGTTGACAAGTATTTTACGAAATTAGTATTTTTTGCAGTATTTGAATTTCTGAATAAATTGGGTATGCAAAATTTTATGGATCAAGATTTTTTG